CCCTCCCACAGCCCCTATATCTTGGTTGAGCAAAGGCTCCACCTGCACGTGTCCCAACCAGCCAGTGAGATGCTGTCTCCTAGAAAAGTAAGGGGAACTGTTATAAGCTCTGTTCCCTGGGTAGAAGCACCGATTTTATTCTCTCCCCCTCAACCCGGCAGTCAACCTTCTCAAAACTTAAAAAAACAGATAAAGCTAGATTGTCTTCTACGTCTACAGCCCTTTGAAATCTGGATCAAAGTGCAAAGGGAGTGCAGAACTACTGGTGGGCAGGTAGTGCAATCACATCATCCTTACTTCCTCAAGAAACCGAGTTTACGTGAATTTGCATAAACAAACATAGCACTGCCATTGACATTTTCCTCTCATATTTAGTGATATCAATGTTTTAAACACAAAAATAGGAACAGAATGATTCAGCTGAGTGGAAAGAACAAGAAGGTAACACAATTTAGACACCTCTGGAGAACTGCATCTGTTCGACTGGCAGGTAGTTGAGTCACACGGAAATAATTCTTGAAAATTTATTCCCAGTTGTAAAAAGTGAAAGATTAGGAGCCAGTATTTTTTAATTCCAAGAGTTAAAAGACCATCAACAGGCAAAAAATAGATAGGTGGATTTTATTTATTGTCACTGAAACAAAAATCTTCATCTACGTATTGAAGAGACCCGCAACAGCATACGAGAATCCAGTAACATCAGACGGGACTAATCGATTTGCATTTGAAATCAGCAAAAAGATGCTGTTTACGTAGTTTGGAAAAATACTGTAGAATATAACGAGAACACTTTTCTCATTCAGTCATTTTGGATCGAATATTTCTATGGACTGAACATGATGACTTACGGGTTTTAAGCAACACAATTGAGCCTGATTGATTAGAAAGATCACGGTACATTAAGAAACGAGACCAACGCGAATAGTTACGAACCTCTCCTTCACAGCCAGCTTCTTCTCAGACACACGATCTCACCCGCAAATAAATCAAAAGCGGCACTGTAGAAAAATCACCTCGTTTGCACTTTGAAAGCGATGCAAGAGACACTCCTCCCCGAGCACGCTGGCTAATAACGTGGTTTTCCAGGGGATGCTTCAAATACTTCTTTGTCGTACAAGCGCTGGGAGGAGGAGACTGGCAGGACATCGCACGTCTCTCGCCTCGTGACAAGGGTCAGCCCGAGCACCTCCGCGGCACAGGGAGACGGCGCGCGACCATCCACAGCCGCCCGAGGAAAAGCCAGCCGAGCGGAGCGCCGTCCGGCCGCACGTCAGCGAGGGTGAGGGGAGCTAATTCGGGACCGAAACGCGCAGTTAAGAACGCCGCGGTTTAAGGAGAGACTTATGAATTGCAGAGGAAACAGAAAGTACACGGAGCACTTGTGCTGCGGAAAGGGAAATCGGGGGCCTCTGCAGATACAATCAAGCCCAAAAGGCATGACTGGAAGACAAATGAAGATCATAATCCAGACTGAAGGAAAGAGTGAGCTCAGAAAGGAAGATATAAAAGTTGTATTTCCCTTTTGACAGCCTCATCAACTGCTACCAGCCGCTTGAGAGCTGGAAATCGGCGGAGAGCTCCTGGTGGAAATGTGGAGGTTTCTAACCACCAGAGGATAAAGGTCTGGAACGCTCCTCTGCCACAGGCAGCAGCAGAAAAACACCCAGGTTTAAAATAAGATTGAATTATGCTTGTGCCACGGTTGCTGGCTTTGGCGGCGGGTAGGACTTGGTGACCCGGGAGCTCCATCCCAGCTGCAAATGTCCCACTTCTCAGAACAGGAGATCAGTGCCAACCTCACGGCGATCGCCTTCGAAAACTTAACCAAAAGCGGACACTAACCTGGATTAAACACACGCTTCCCTTGCCCGAAGTGGCTGCATTTGCACCTACATCTCCAAACTGAGGTTCACAAGCTCTTCTAGACAGATCAGATAATGAAATTTAGACTCAATTTAATTATCATTTTGATTATGCTTTCAGTTGAGGTACTGAAGGCCTTTCGCAGAAATGCTTCTCCAAAGCATTTTCCCTTGCCTGAGAAACGTTTTCAGGAGCACCAGGAGCAGTATCACCTTTCTTTCCTGTTTTTGCCTGTTATCCGCGTGGTGGGTTACTGATACAGGGGAGCATAAAAACCTAACTGCAAAGAGCATTTTTAAAAATCCCTAACTAGTTCACCTCCTGCGATGCAGACTAATCATTGAATTTGACAGATGAATATCACCTAAGATCAGAAAGGATCTCTACAATATGTTCTCCCTAAATGACCATATCCCATAGTTATTTCACATTAATTTTGACACAATATGGGTGTATCATTTAGGTTTCTCACTCCAAGCAGTATCTCCCATTACTGAACAAACTCAAAACACCTTCATGGCATGCAGTCATGTTGCTTCCCATCCCTTTGTTCCAAAGGAGAAGGGCTATATATCTACATCTCAAAAAAAGTGTGTCTTTACTAACAGCCAGGAATTTTAATCAACTGAAGAGTATACAAAAAAGCCCATACATCCGAACAATAATCTCTGAAATACTTAGCACACGTTCACTAAAATGAAAGGCCACTATAAGCACATCATTTGGGAGAGAGAGATTCCTTCTGGAAAATGTAAATATTTACTTTGGTTAAAAAAAAAAAAAAAAAAGTTAAGATGCATACCTAGGTAAGTTGATATTTGTAACTTCCAGAAGAAAAGTTAACCAGATTTAATATATATATATTTCATCCAAAAAATACACTGCTAACTGATATCAGTCCTTTTAATGACGACATGCATCTAGCAAGAATAAATATTCAGACCATAGTTGTTGGTTAGGGTTTTTTTTAATGGACTCAACCATAAAGGTCAAGAGAATCCGTGAAACAGTTAAAATTGAAAATTAAAATCAGAAAGAACTAAAAAGAAATAAGCATTTGGCTTCCTTGTACTAATTTCCTTTTTCTTTACATTGCTCAACATCACTCCTCAATTTGAGTTCTAATCAACAACCACTTCACAGTTAACATTTCATGAAATAATGCGGTTGATGCAATCAAGTCCAGCAAAATGTTTCCCTAAAGATGTTTCCATCATTCACATTCCTTTAAAAAAAAAAAAAAAAAGCTCTAGCTTCCTCCATCACTATTTAACAGCAAGAATAAACACACCACTGCATCTTAAATCATATTTTGATTAAAACATAAATAGAATCACTTGGGGTTTCTTTCTGGTTAATACAACATGCCTTTGTCCAAGAGAGGGGAAAAAAAAACCTCAACCTGCTCATTTTTCTACATTTGACAGTATTCAGCCCTAAATGAATGCCTTTTGAATGAAATTCAGTCTATGGAAATACAAGCCATAACCTGAAAGCTTATCATCATGATGTGCGGGGGGGGGGGGGGGAAAAAAAAAAAAAAAAAA